TCCATTATATCGAAAACAAGGAGAAGTTTGCCACGGACAAGAATATGAAACGCAACAATTTTCGCGAGGCCATTGATCAAATAGAGGCTGCTGCGAATGGTGAAGATTCTGCGCCTATTGATTTACCCATAATAGCGGCGACTGAAGGTGTTGTGGCGGCAGATGTTTCACAAGCGGAAGAGGCCTTAGAGAATACAATGGATGAAAGTGCTGTAAATAATACAACAATAGATGATTCGCAATTAATGGAGGCTGTAAAGGAGGAAGAGGAACCATCGGCAGAGGAGATTGTTGCCGATAAGAAGGTGAAGGAAGTGAAAGTTGAGAAGGACGAAAAGAAAACAGATAAAGATGTAACTTCAACTCCTGCTGCAGCGGATGCCACTGAACCTGTGAGTCGAAGTGGACGTAAAATTAAAGTGAAACGTTATATTGATGACGTTGGCGACTCATCGAATGCCATGAATGCTCCACCAGCTAAGAAAAAAGTTTCTCCAGAGGGTAAGTTGTGGAAGATTGAAGAAATATCTTGTTTCAATCTAGTTTTCTGAAGGCCAGCAAAGTTTGAAATTGTTGTTTTAATAGTACTTCCGTTATTAGATTTGATTTATATTTATTTGGGAAAAATTTAAACTTCAGTCAGTCTCAACCACATATTAATAGGCGGTTTTTGAACCTATTGAAACATTTTGGGGCATGTTTATCAAATATTAATTTTTGCGAAGACAAAAATCCTTAATTATCCGGACAGTATCGCATTAGGTATTCCAACAGACTACATCCTGGTTTTCTTAGTTAAAAAATCCACATTTGTTATTTGGATATATTGATAATCTGTGTCGTCTAGAGTAATGTAATGCCACTAGGTATATCTAATAGATTTTTATCTTCTTAATATCGCAGAATACTCCAGAATAACCTGGTATTTCACTTGTGCGTTTCTAGATAAATTAAAGACTAATTTAAAATAAATTAATAAAAATTTATCTTAAATTTTTAGGTATTTCCACACCAGAACCCAAACCAAAAGCTGCTAAGAAAAATTCTAGCAATGCAAATGCTAAGCCGATGGCAACCGTTACACCCACGGTCAAATCGTCAAATAAATCGGAAGTACAAAACAATCTTCTATTGGCCTTCATACCACCAGCAAAATGTATTGGCATTAAATTGGATTATCAGAAACCAGCAATGTTTGATTCACCCGAAGCCAAACGTTTGTGGGAAGAAGATGCTCTCAAGGAGGCAGAAGAACTTAAAGCCAAGCTTGAAATGGGTTCTATAAAAATCGATGCTGTTAGGGAGCGTATAGTTATTAATCCTTCCCGCTCGAAAATACATCGTGAGGCTAAGGATCGCTTTACCAGCGAAATGATTGAACAGGAAGATGCTCTTCTAGTGGAAAGAGATTTCATACAACTGTCACAACAGCTAAGAGAGTGTTTGGGCTTAAAACGTGCAGATGTTGATCGTTGTTTAGATATTTTAAAGCAATACAAAGAATTCCAACTAACCAAGCTGATGCTTTTGCGTAATCCCGACTGTGTGGATAGTATACGTCGTTTGAGACGTTACATTGGTAATTTGAAACAGTGGAAATTAACAGAAGAAGAAGAGATTGCGTTTAAGGCTAAAGCCGAAATTATACGTTACGAAGCTGTTTTGATTTATAATAATTTTAAGAAAATCTTTGGTCCCAATACATCTACACACTTTTGGGAAGAATTTTGCAACCAGGTACAAGCCTACAAGGAGAATACCAAGCATATAAATGATCAAAATCGTTTGATATTAACGGATAAAATATACAAAGCCTTGTCTAACAAACACACAAAATCCAATAAGGCAGACAACAATGTAGAACCAGAGGCCAAATCTGTAAAGGAAGAAGTCGGCAAAGAAAATGATGATACTAAAAAGGAGGAAGATAAAACTGATAAACTAGTTGAACAAGAGCAAACTGTCAAAGCAATGGAAACTGATGAAGTGGTAGCTGAACAAGAAGAAACCGCAACATTAAATGAGGAAGACACTCCTGTTGACAATCCCTCAAACACTGATATAGCTGTAGAGGCCAATTAGGCTGGCAATTGTTAGTTTTAAAATATTTAGTTATTAGTTGTAAACAATAATAGGGTTTTACTACTAGTACATAAAACATACAAACGCATTCTTATTCTCCTTTTGTTCATTTATTTTAATTGAATTCATAATAGTTTTTCTTTGATTTACTTTAATTTTCTTATCCTTTTTTAATTTGGTTAAAGCGACGTTAACAATTCTTTAAACATTACCCTTTTTATTGTAAGTTATTTTAGAAATACATATATTACTGATATTTAATATTTTTACAAAACGATTTACGCTAATAATAACGTAACACTCAATAACCACAGCATAAAAACATATTTTTTTTTTATAATTTTAACTTTTTTTACTTTCTCCATGAGAATATCTTTTCAATTTTTATTTAATTTTTGTTTACAAAAAATAATTAGTTATCATTTGTTTAAGAACTTTTAAAAGCACAGACCGATATTGAGTTGAAAAACAAAATGTTTAAACGTTTAAGAACATCCATAAAATATTGTTTATATAAGAGTATTTCAATATTAATAATTAATTAACATAATATTAATATATACAAGTACATATACATTAATACATACATATATTAAAACGATATATTTAAACGAATATCCTATGAAAATAAAAACATAACAAATAAACTTACATTAACGAAGAGAAATACCTTAATGTAAGATACAAGATCATCTTGAAAAAAGTTATTAACATGGAGAGAAGCCAACCAAATCCTTAAAAGATTTAATTTAAAATCAGTCTATTTATAAACCTCACTTTTGAAGCGAATATTGGGTGTGGCGTTCTATCTGCCTTAGCGCTCAAGTATTTGACTCATACTGTGCAGACCAGTAAAATATTTCCCAATATGCACTTTAAACTCTCCTAGGCAGACGACAGAAAAATCAGAAGTTCCAGATTTAAAGATGTCAAAACTTTTAACATCAACTGTCACTGATCGAAATGATTCGAATGCGAGAAAAATTGACCAGATAGAAGCCAATGGACATATCCTTTACACAGTGTTGTGATAAGGTGATTCATCAGGATTAAGTTCAATTCTGTCTTATTATTCCGATCGTTTTTGTTTTCCAGAATCACTTCATACAAAATTTCTATAATAAGCCATCAACAATTTTATTTAACCTTTTTGAATACGGGAATAAGTATTTAGATCATTATTTATTGAACTTTATTTACTCATTTCTAAATTAAAAGTATTTTGTGTAAGCGTCAGTACAGTAATGCAGTTGGGAAAAGAACCAATCCTAAATTACATAATTACAAATCAGGTTACAATCTGATACAAATCCTCATTTCAAACACTAAGTTTGGGAAACCTTTTGAGTATTAAAATAGATATCAAATAACTTTATTTCAAAATTTGAAATTCTAATTTATAAATTATATTTCATCCATTATTTCTGATACCACTGCAATTTCACCCACAGGTGCACCTTTAACAATCCTTTCAACCTGTTTCCACTCTTTATTATTCTGTATATGTCTTTCTTTGGCCTTTTCTCGATTAGTTTTCTGTTGATCATTGCGCTCCTCTTCCGTGTAACGCGACCAATACTTTTCTAAATAGGCCAAACGTTTTTCCTTTTCATCCAATAATTCTTCCGGAGTTTTAAATGCTTTGCGTCGTATTTTGGCCAAACGACTTTTATTGTTTACTAGAATCTTACGCTGTGCCCTCTCTTCGGGTGTTTCCTTCGCCCTTCTTTCTAAACGATTACGTTTTACTCTATCTGTATTGCGTTTCTTTACTTCGCTTAAGAAGGCTTCATCTTCGAAATTTTTTAATCTTTGCAATAAGCGTACCTTATTGGTGATAATACGATGGCGAAATCTACGTAATTCACGTTCCTCGGAGGTTTCTCTTTCCCGTAATCTACGCATTCGGTATTTGGATTTTTGGTTTTGTGTTAATTCATTAAATTCATCTGAGTCTTCAGCGTTACTTTCTGTGCGCTTAGAACTCCGCCTGTTTACTATTGGTTTTCTGGGTCTTTTGATGTTGAGGAGACGTTCTCGTTGTTCGTAAATTAATTTTTCCAATTCAGTCATTTTATCGAAATCTACCGCAGCCACTTGAGACTGCTGTAGGGGATCATTTGGTATGATGTCCGGTGGTATGTTGTGGTTATTTGCGGCATCTTCATCTGTACACGTTTTCATTGTAAGACATTTCGTTTCGGGATCAATTACAACCTGCAAACTTAGTTGATTTTCTTCCAATTCTTTGGGTAGATTGTCCATTGCTTAGTTTTAATTAAACATTCATATAATTTATGTTAATTTTATTAATTTTGTTTGTTTACAATTCAACAAAATAAAAACATTTTTATGTGGGAAGTTGTCAAAGCAAAGTTTTTATATCACAGAGACGTTATTTAAAAAAGTACTTTTTAATACAACTAAGGAAAATAAATTAGTCTCTTTATAAACAATTATCTATAAATTATTTTATTTATTTTTTAATTAAAAATTCTAATTCTCTAAAATTGTAAAATTTTTATAACTTTTTCTATTTATACAAAACTTTCTAAAATTTCCCAATTTATAAAAAATGTTCTATAAAAAATTAAAAAGGAGAAATTTTTTACTCCTAATGGAAAATTTCGCTATTTTGGAAATTTTTTAAACTTTCCTATTTACAAGATTTTTTTTTATTTGCGAAAAATTTCAAAATATTCTCATTTATAAAGAAATAAGAAAAATTTTCCAATAATATGCATTTTTCAAAAATTTCGAAATTTTGAAAAATGTATTTTTAATTTTTTTCATGGAAAATTAATGAAAATTTATTTATTGAAAAAATACTCTATTATTTAACACCCCCACTTTTAATAATAAATAAATTAGTAATAAATACTCCCATTTTTACGGGATGTCTTAAATAAATACCGAAATTCGTAGTGATAAAAAGGGGCCAACATAATTTTTCTTTATTTATAAATAAAAATATTTTAATTAAAAAAGAAGGAAAAACATAACCTAAACTCAATCTTAAACTATACTTATGAACTATAAAATAATAAGAAGGCAGCAAAATTATTCCTTAGCATCACCAATACCATCAGGTTGTATGGCAAACATTGCCTCTGATTCGGGCAAACAAGGAGAATCATATATCTTACATATACGAGTTTCACCACGACCTTTGCGCAGCGACAGGCGTGTAGTTGAAGCATGGGCAATGATATTGCCACCAATAGGTTTTTTAGCATCCGCTTGAAACATGCCACCTCCACCATCAACTTGGGCCACCACTTGATTGGTGATAACAACAGCCACACCAAATTCATCGGCCATACGTAATAGTAAACGCATAAAACGTGCTAAATGCATTTGTCGGGCAGCCAGTTCACCACGACCAGCATAATCGGTACGATACAGGGCAGTCGCACTATCCACTATGATCAAGGCATATCTGGGAGAAAGAAAATAGTGTTGGCAAAATGAAGAAAAGGAAAAAATCTTAACTCACCTTGATTCAGCCATCATAGCGGCGCCTTGCATTAACAATTGTGTTTGATGATCCGAGTTAAAGGCACGTGCACACGCCACATTATCCAAAACATCATCTTTTACCAATTTATAACGATCTGCTATGGCCACCAAACGTTCGGGACGAAATGTACCTTCTGAATCTATGTACAGGCATTTGCCTTCTCCACCATTCTGACTAATGGGCAATTGACAGGTGACAGCCAAAGTGTGACACAATTGAGTCTTGCCGGAACGAAATTCGCCAAATAACTCAGTTATCGAACCTGTTTCAATGCCTCCGCCTAGTAACTTATCCAATTCCTTGGACCCAGTGGTCAGCATAATAATTTCCGAACGTTTTTGATAGAAAAACAGGGCCGTAGTAAAACCCATGGGCACTAAACTGGAGGCATGGGCCAATAGTTTGTCAACTTTGTTGTCTGAGAAACCCTTAATGTTTAACAGCTCTTTTTTAGGAGCGAATGCCACCGATTCCACTGTATGATAACCAGCAGCCTTTAAACGTTGTATATCATTGCTGGTTATGCCATTAACTTCCAATTTAGTTATGGGCAGTGGGCCAAAATCTTCATTTTCTTCACAGTCTGTAGTGGTGGCTGTGGCCAAAGATCTTTCATTCTCCTGACAGCTCATGTTATCCATAATTAGGGTAAACAATCGTTTTAGTAAATTCAAATGCACTATATAAAGTAAATATTTTTATTTATTTTTTTCACCAATTTTAATTTCGTCAATATTGCCGCTTGTTTATGACCATAGTTGCCAGATGATTTAGGTGTTTATGACCATAGTTGCCAGATGATTTGGGTGTAAAATCATCAAATTTCGAGGAAAAAATCGTCAACTGATTTTTCGAAATCGTCATTAAATCGTCAAAGCTATTTTCCATGTATATAATTTGCATGTTTGATGGTATTTATACGATTATATAATAATTATTTTAACTATCGAAAAATTTTATCAATTTCGATAGATTTTAGTTTTGTTTGATTGTTCTTTGAGTTTGCTTAGCTGCGAAAGATTATAACGACAACGAATATCAAGTTGAGCTTTTATGGTTCTCCACCATAATCAAAATTAAAACTTAGGTTAAGTTAACACGAATGCATATGGTCAACAACAACATGCACATCAAAAAACCGTAACTCGGTACCGTTATTCGACGTCACACATTTGACCAATGCGGTTTGAAACGTAAAACTCTCGAAGCCAGAGCAAGAAAGACTGCCTCATTCCCCTTAAGCGATACTGGCAATGACGCACGACGATCTTCGTCCACCCAGAGCTCAATTACGAATGCATTTGTTTATTATCTGTTTAATTTGGCAAATATGATTTAAAAACTTTACATTGAGTTCTTGCAATGTTTCTTAGATGTTTCAATTATTCGTATGCAAAACAAATTCCCTCCTTTAAATCAAATGTTCAAAAACACTACTCCCTCTATTCTTCTTCACACTACCAATTATTCTAGACCCAATAATCCCTAAGTGCTGACCCAAAAAAAAGAGAAATTCTTAAAAATGTTTGAGTTCGTTATTACGTAAATCATTTGATGAATGGAAATACTCTAAAAGATTATAATGTTTAATTTTATTAACATTTTCATTGGATATTCTAAATATGTACATCGATGTTCTTTTAGAAAAATGAAAAAATGTATTAAAATTGGTACAAAAATCCTATTTTAAAAAATCGTCAAATTTAGAGTTAAAATCGTCAAATCGTCAACAGGCCATTTTTGATCGTCAAAGTGACGATAAATCGTCAAAACTGGCAACAGTGTTTATGACGTCTTAGTCAGAGCCCTGCGCCGACAAATATTGACGGCGTTTAATTTTTAAATTTTCAACGATTTTAAATAAAAACGGAATTCGAGAGATAAAAAAGTAGGATTTTGGAAGCAAATATATTGTTTATAACAATAAAACAGAGCAAACACAAAATTAAGGATCTAGAAACATTTTAGAGTTTTCAAATAAAAATAATTTTTTAATTAAAAATTTAACTATATAATAATTCTCATATACATACTATATAATAATTCTCATATACCATTAGCATTATAAATGTAACAAAAAGTGGACGGAAAAAGGTCATTGCGTTTCATTAAGATCACAATAGGCCCGAAATTAGTGGTATAGGTGAATTTATTCGTACTTGATATATTAAACATTCTCTTCCTCAAATTAATCTAACCTTCCACGATGGAACTATTGCCATACAAAATTTCATGAAGCAAAAATCCAGATCAAAATTTGATCCCAAAAATATACTATTGCCAAATTTCTTTAGCATGTTTTTTATATTTAGCTGTTATTCTAAAAGTAAACATAAAAATGTGCGTAGCATCCAATCAATATCATGTAAGAGTCTTTTTAATTTCTGAGGTTAGACTTATTAATATGCCGAATTTTATTAAAAAAGAGTCTCATATATATTTATTATTATATATTATATGTTTTGAAGATGTAATGTGTCCACAACATTCATTATAATAATATGTTTTACAAAAAGTTGGCGTAAAAAGGGGCATGGCGTCAGATCTTGAGGTCAGACCTATCGGTATACGAAATTTCATGCAAATCGGTTCAGCAGTTTTCTGTAGGTCTCGAATGAAAATTTTGTATAACAATTATATGGAAAAAAGTGAGCATAAGAATACAATCCAAGCCAAATCGGCGTTAGCCTCAAAGGGAACACTGAACGTACTCTACAAATAACACAGAACGTACTTTAAAACAGTTATCGATTACGTTGTCAATCGGCTGTTAAGCGACACGGCCTCACATCAAATTTGTTTGACTCAAACGGTAATTTATTGTGTAGTGAAAAAACTCACATATATGTATATATGCGGTGTGAGTTTTTGTACTAACACAATCAAAAAACTTACCGTTTGAGTCAAACAATCTGATGTGTCGCCAAGGCGCTTTAGAAAAAAACCAACAACGTGATTTTGAGAGAAAATAAATTTATATACATACAATTTTATTGACATATGTTGATATAAAAATAATCGAAAGCTATTGATTAATTAACATATTTATATATCTGATTTTCAATATTTGTTTTTTACAAATTAACGTTTATCGCATTGCCAATACATTATTGACAAGTGTATGGCAGCACTCCCACCACTAATATCAAACTCCCGTTGTGACAGCAAAACATAACCTCACAAAAAACTTACATAAAATTTCTAATGAAACTATTTTGTTTTTCTAAATATTTTTAAAATAAAACCGAAATAAGTTGCAAGAAGGCAACTAAATTATGAACAATTATCATTATTTGGACGTGGAATTGTAAGTTCGTATTAAACCTATTTCTACAAACTTAAAACTAATGATGAAATTTTTCCTGTTCCGCATGAAAATATTGCACTTGCTAAAGGAAACTTAGAGAAGACTCCACTGCCGTTGTTACACCTGCATATTTTCAAGGTAGCATAGAAACATCTTTAACAGATTTTTTTGGAGAGATAGGAGGTCAGACAGAGTTAGAATTGATAAAATTTGATGGTGATCTAAAGCGCGGCATAGTCAAAGTACCACAAGCATTTTCGAGCCAAACAAAAGCTGCCATTACATTAATTGGTCGTTTTCAAGATATACCCTGCCATTTTCAAATTTTGAAAACTTCTGCACAACCTTTAGATTTGGCATAAACTAAAATAAAATGGCTTACAGTTCAAAAGAAATCTTGGGCAAAGATACTGTGATATTTGCCACCAAAGAAGATCATGCCATTCCTCCTGCCATAGAACTCCCACCGCCAGAACCGGCACAGGGTCTCATAACAAAAGATGGTGAAATTAACTGGAGCTGTCCCTGTCTAGGTGGCATGGCTACCGGGCCCTGTGGCGTAGAATTTCGTGAAGCATTTTCCTGTTTCCATAACAGTGAAGCTGAACCTAAAGGTTCGGATTGTTACGAAGCTTTTCGTACCATGCAAGATTGTTTTACACAATATCCTTCAGTGTATAATAAATCCGGCAGCAGTGGTGATGATGACGATGAGGACGAGGGTGGTTTAAATATGGCTGCTTTAGGTGATGATGTTAAGGATGATGAAAAGGCTGCAGTGGAAGCTAGCACAACAAAGCCGGCGGAAAAGTGAGATAAGAAAGGTTAGCTTGATGTTAATGATGTTTATATTCCTGTTAATAGTTTAAGAGAATGTAGCGAAGACGCAATGTTAAAAAATTATACGACATTAAATGAAAGTTGTTAATGTTTATGCAAAGTATTTTATAATAAAATACTAAGGACAATGTGATTGATATTGATGTATGTGTTAGATATTTTAACTATTAATTACTGGACTTGGAAAGAGCAGAGTTGACCATCTATCAGAGTGCCGCGGATAGTATTAGTGCCTGAAACTAATATAGATTTCATATTTTTAATTGGGTTTAGGCGTTTTAATCGAAAAAAGCAATTAATTTTTTGTTTTCAATAAATTTATTTATTTATTCAAAAACAATGGCCGTAAGCCGATAGGGCCTAATTGGCTAGTCTACAATTAAATATACTTATAATACAAAAATATAATTGGTACATTATTTAGTAGAAAAATATAACATATATTTATAATTTTTTAATTATAATTTTCTTATTTTTAATAGTTAGACTTGAAGTTTTGCACACACTGATTAGGATTCTATAAATTGGTGAAAATAAAGATAATATTATTAGCCTAAAAATGACAGTAAAACATAATAGGAGCGAAATGCAATAAGGTTATAAAAAGATTTTTTGCAACAAATGAGTTATACCAATTAAATATTTTATAAAAACTTAGGGGAAATGGCTGTACAATATACATTTACATAGTGGAATATCATTAAAAATAGGCTCAGGGTTAGTTATGAATTCGACAAACAAATATTTTTAAATGCATATAATGAATGTGAAAATTTACGTTCCTGGTAAGGAATAACAGTATTCCATAAGCGCGCTATGTTAACTCGAAATGATCTCGTCATAAATAATGAAACATGTGCTGGACATATTAAAGAATGTGTTCTATTTGAAATAGCAAAGTTAAATTTATTCTGCAAATAGTCAGGTTTACCATATTTTATAGTTTTAAAAAAGAAAATCATTTTTCTCAACTGAACATATTGAAAGAAACTACAACCAAGTAAATCAACGTAATATTGAGAAACATGATCACTAATCCGAAGTCCATAAATATAACGTACTACACTATTAAAGGATCTTTTTAATCTGTCAATGTTGGAGTTTGAAGTACATGAGTAAACTTCAATACCATAAATTAATAACGGTAAACACAATGATAAAGCAACACGACGTTTTATTGAAGAGGGCAAAATAATAATGGCCCTAACATTGACCCTTGTGGCACACCTCGGTAAATTGGAATCCTACTAGAAACTTCACGTTCTATTTGAACAAATTGACTGCGACCATGTAAGAAAGAGTAAATGAGTTTACAGGCACTTGAACTATAACCAAATGTATGTGAGAGCTTATGGATCAACAATGAATGATTAATCGAGTCGAATGCCTTACAATAATCCAAAAAAATTAAAATACTAACCAAATCCTTGTCGAAGTTTTCCCTAATAGTTTCCGTGATTTCCAGAAGTGTGCCAGTAGTACTAAATCCTTTCCTAAAACCTGATTGATGTGGATGAATCAAACTACAACTATTTAGATGATGTAACATTTGTTCCCTAATAATTAGTTCCAAAACTTTTGAACAGACTGACAAAATACTGATAGGACGATAGTCCGAACAATTCCTAGGAATCTTAACTTTCGGAATCGGTACAATCCTACCAACCTTCCAAATTTTAGGAACTACCGATGTTGTCAACACCCTGTTAATAATAAATGTTTTAAAATAGGCAGTATTATGAATTTAAGAAATTTAATATGAATTTGATCAGCACCTACCGCTTGAGATTTATATTACACTTAAAATTTTAAAAAACTTTCCACATTTCTAAATAAGTTGATTTTATCGGTGTCATATCTTTGGATCTAGAAAGCATAGAGGAAATTATCGTATGTCGAAATAAGTGATTTTGTCAAACGTCCACAGAAAAGGAACTATTAATGTCTTTGAAAACATTGTTTATTGGGGTATATTACTTGATTAGAAGAGAAAAAAATACTGCAATTTGGATATTAAATACGGAACTGTTTGGAAATGCATCACTGAACTGCATTTACATAAATAGTTTGCGATGTTGATGCAAACATACTTAAACGCTTTTTTTTAGGTTTGGGAGTTATGCGCATTTTGCGATGCTGCTTCAGTCGTCCTACAAAATCACGCTGTATCAGGTGTGTCAAGCTTCCTGACTGATTTCCCCTAATATTCCCACCACATATATAATTTACATAACAAAACCAGTTATGTACTTTCGAACAGGCCCGTTTAACTCCTTTAATAAAAAACTTTAAAAATTCACTTTTTATGAGATACTAATTAATAACTGAAAATCTTTTCGTATATTTTTTAAATAAAAAACTATCAATTATAGGTAAATGTGGACATTAAAAGAAAAACAAGCATATTTAAATTGTATTAATAAATCTCGTAAGGGGTAAAATTCGTCACTTGGAAACATCGTTTTAAACTTAGTAACTGCGTCCAAACAAGGTAAAGTACTTGGGTTTGTTCGTACAACCAGGATGAATACATTTGTCAGCAGCAGTAATAGGAGCAGGCTGATCAAAAGGTATACACAAAGATTTGGCACCCATAGCTGGTGCACCAGGTTCAGCATCTTCGTCACTATAAAGATAAATAAAACTGTTAGTAAATGTTTTAATTAAATTATTTTATAAACTTACCGAGCACTATCCGCCTTAATTTTATCCTCACAAGAAATTTCACCACAGAAGGGCGACAGTAAAATATTCTTTTGGTCTAAGAATTTGCAGAAATCAGCCCAGTTCTTGGTGAGTTTTGTATGACTTTCCAAATCGACCTTGGCCTTGGCCAACATACTGTCATGAATGGTTTCCAATAGTTGGGAAATCTTTGATTCAACATTTTCCATAGCTAAAATAAGTTTTTCACCGGTATCTCTGCGTACGGCTACGATTTGTTTGGCCTTCATGTCCTTGGGACCCAATTCGATACGCAATGGCACACCCTTCAATTCCCAGTGATTGAATTTCCAGCCAGGAGAGTAGTTATCACGATAATCACCCTCACAGCGAATACCCTTGGCGCACAATTGCTTTTCTAAGGCGCGGCAAGCATCCAAAAGTTCTGCTCTTTCGGTATCCTTGGTGTTGACGGTTATGCCGCAGGGTACAACAATTGCCTGTATGCACGCTACGTGGGGTGGTAGAACAATACCTTGATTGTCAGAATGTACCATGATCATGACACCAATAGTACGGGTGGTAATACCCCAGGAGTTTTGGTAAACGTATTGTTTCTGTTGAGTTTCAGGATCTTCAAAGACGATTTCAAACATTTTGGAAAAGTTTTGGCCCAAGTGATGGCTCGTGGCGCCCTGAATGGCACGACCAGAGGCTGATATAAAGGCTTCAACAGTAGTGGTATAATCACCTCCTGCAAATTTCTCCTTTTCAGTCTTGCGACCCTTTACTACTGGAATGGCCAGTAAATCGGTGTAAACTTGAGCATACAATTCCAAAATGTCTAATACTTCCTTGTCAGCTTCCTCTTTGCCGGCAAAGGCGGTATGACCCTCCTGCCACAAAAATTCTCTGGTGCGTAGGAAAGGTTGGGGATGTTTAAATTCCCAACGTACTACATTATTCCATTGATTGAGGCGAATGGGCAAATCACGGTAAGATTGAATCCACTTGGCGTAGGCAGGGTACATAACGGTCTCAGAGGTAGGTCTTACAGCTATAGGTTCAGCCAAATCAGACTCTCCTGACTTTGTGACCCACGCTACTTCAGGGGCAAAGTCAGCAATATGATCCTTTTCCTTCTCCAAAGCAGCCTTGGATACAAAGATGGGGAAATAGCACTCCTTAACACCCATCTTAGTGATTTCGGCATCAAACCAATTCTTAATGAATTTCCAAATGGCAAATGACCAGTGACGGAGGATATAACAGCCTGAAACATCATAGTATTCGATGAGTTCACCTTTAGTGATAACTTGGGAATACCATTCGGGTAAATTGTCTTCCTTGGTGGCTTCCAAACCCAAACGGGTTTGTTTCTTTACGGCGCCGCTAGCAGCTTCTGGTTCTTTTTTCACTGGCTTAGCGGGTTTGGTAGTTTCTTTCTTTTCCGGTCCGGACTTCTTCGAACTGCCACCACTACGGCCGGCAACAGGAAAATCGATACCAGTAACTTCCTTGTATTTTGCTTTAAGCGCCAACAATTTAGCTACTTCCATATCAATTTCCTCTTTAGGTGCCTTATTGGTTTTGGCAGTGCGCACCTTTTCTCCCTGTTCAGTGATTTCCTTGGTTAGCAAATCCTTTTCGTTAGCTGGAACAGATGACATTTTTACTTCTTGTTTAACTACAGCGGGTTTTGTGTCTGGTGTCCAATCTTTACCAGTTAAAGTTTTGTATTCGGCCTTAAGTTTTAACAATGATTGTACTTCGGGATCGATGACGGCTTTGGCGGCTTTTTGTGATTTTAATTGGCGTATTTTATCACCTTGGATTTTAATATTTTCCAAAACTGCCTCAACGTCAGAATCAGCATCAGCGGCAGTCAAATCAATAGTTTCAGTTTTTACCGTATTGGCAGGAGCTACACAACCGGGTTTCCACTCTTCACCAGTAAGACTTTTGTAGTCAGTTTTCAGAGCCAATAACAGTTTTACCTCTGGTTCAATGGTGGCTTTATCAGCTTTATTAGACTTCAATTGTCTAATTTTATCACCTTGCGCGGCAATTTTATTTAATAAATCAGTTACAGCCAAGGTGGAGGGTAAATCTGGACACTTTTCTTGTTTCACCACAACAGGAGCTACTGCACCAGGTTTCCAATCACTACCAGTTAATTGTTTATATTCAGCCTTTAAACTTAACAGAGTTTTTACTTCAGCATCTACGGCTGCTTTGTCCGCTTTGGCTGATTTCAATTGTCTTACTTTATCACCTTGTTCGGCAATTTTGCTTAAAACAACTTCTACTGCTGAGTTGGCACTGGCGGCAGCAGGAGCGGGAGAGGAAGACTTAGCGGTGGGCACTTGTACGCCGGGTTTCCAATCCTGACCGGTTAATGTTTTAAATTGGGCTTTCAAGTCCAAGAGGATTTTAACTTGTGGTTCGATTTCAGTTTTGGCAGCCTTTTTAGCCTTAAGGTCTCTAATTAAGTCACCTTGCTTTACAATGCTCTCATTAACTGAGCTAGCATCATTAGCAGAAGCTTTAGTTGTAGCGGGGGTAGCAGCAGCAGCTGGAGTTTGTCCTGGTTTCCAATCTTTACCGCAAGCAGCCTTATAATCTGCCTTCAAAGCCAATAGTTTTTTAACTTCAGCATCAACTTGAGCTTTATCAGCCTTTTTAGCCTTAAGATCACGTACAATATCACCCTGTTTGACAATCTTTTGATCTAAATCTGCAACAGAATTTGCAGGTACACCGTTCGATGTTGGCTAAAAGAAAATTTCATTAAATTTATTAAAGATTTTTTCTATTTAATAATGCAATAATATCAAATGTATACGTCAGCATATTCCCCATACACTATGTCTACTACGAAGAATGTCTCATTTATGTTATAGCGCACATGAATACAAATGTAACTGACAAGCACTTTATAAAAAACAATCTTCATTTAAACTTCAGTCTTTTAGTTAAGTGTGCTTGCTTGTCTGCATTCATATTGGCTTAGTCTGCAGTGTGTTTAGTAGCTGTTGAGGTTTTGATCTACTCCCCACATTTGAACTTACTCCGTTCGAAAAGAATGTTGTTAAACAAATGAATGATGTTGACACAATGGCACGATATTATTGTTTGATAATGTGAATATATTCTCTTTATTTTGGGATCTTACTTCACACGCGTGAGTGAATTAAAATAAGTTACAAAGAGAGTTGGAGCTTAGAAATTGGGGAGTAGTTGAGAGAAGTTTGTTATTGTTCCGGTGCTCTTTTGTTTGTAAACTAACTCATTTGCAAAGAGAATAAAAAAGTGGTAGTATTTTAGAAACAGAGGTAAATAAAGAATGTGAGTAATCTAAATTTCATCCAAAATGCTCAATTCTGAAGAGAATCCTCAAATAAAAAAATATGACAAACAAAAAACACAACTTACCGCTTTATTAGCATCCTGATTGGTGGCAGTATTAATCTTCAAACCCGACGAAGGCATATCCTTAGTATGACCATCAGGAATAGAGAATAGAATAACTGGTGAGGGTACATTCGAATAAGCACTGGGTGGAGCATAGGCATTGTCAACCTTAAAGAAACCACGACGTTGCAATTGAATAATGTCACCCTTTTTGCATTTCTTCAATTCAGGATCACCCAACATTTGAGTTTCTTCGCGTGTTTTATGACCAATGAATTGTTTGAAATCTTCATCTTTACCCAAAACCGCTTTACTAATGATATTATCAAAGTACACACAGTAAGTGGGTGGATATTCTTCAGCTTGATCTTCTACAGCCAACCATGTAAGTTTAAGGGTCTTCTTAAAGTCTTTATTGTCCAAATTCAATGAAGCATCAACGCTAACTATTTTACCGTTGGCATCTTTGTTGATCTTATTGATCATCAAATTACCCCAATTGATGAAGGTGGCATTTTCACCCTCCTTCAAAGCCTCAGCGTCAACATAATCAATATAGATTTTGGGTCCCAATGTAACAGTCTTCTTACCCAAAGACTCATTCTTGGGATGGACAGGAACTTCGATTTTTTCTTTCTTAGCACCGGCTACATTTACAACAACGCGATTATCGTATTCGAGGGCAGTATAACGTGGGGCAATGGGATCGATGACCTTCTTGTTGAAAGCCCAAATCTTATCCCAATTCATAAAGACAACAGACTTACTGGAACCCTGAGCGATAATGAATTCCTTTAAACCTTCAACGGTCATACCACGTCTAACAATACCACGTACAGTAGGGAAACGAGGATCATCCCAACCATCTACTAAACCGGAATCAACAAACCAGGTTAGCTTACGTTTGGACAAAACCGTGTTGGTCATGTTCAATCTACTGTATTCCCAAATGTAGGGTTTGCGTAGTTTCAAGGCATCAATAAACCAATAAAATTGATCGTCACGATCGTGATATTCCATGGTACGCAAAGTGTGTGTAACATTTTCAATGGCATCAACGATGGGACAGGCAAAATCGTAGGTGGGGTAGACTCTGAAGAAAAAAAAGTTGGATAGATGGAAAATTAATATGGGAAATTTGGTTTGAAATGTATGACTTTAATTTGACTTACTTGTATTTGGTACCCGTTCTAGGATGTGGTTCATTTTTGCATCTGTAGATGGTTGGATCACGCATACAACCATTGGGCGATGACATATCAATTTTGGCACGCACACAACATTTTTGACCGTATTCAGTGCCATTTAACATTTCCTTCCACATAGACATGTTCTTGGCAACATCTGTAAAAAATATATACGTTAAAAATGATGAGCATGGTATGGTGCTATTTTTTAATCCATTTGTCTGTTTATTTTTATCTTTCTATATTTCTTGAATATATATTTTTACTCACCATTGGAACGATTCTTCGATTCGGTTCTCTGTTCACGTTCAGCCTTCATTTGCTCGGGAGGAGTGTCATCAACATAAGCTTTACCCTCATTTATTAATTGTTCACAGTAGGACAACATTAAATCGAAATAGTTAGAGGTGTGGGTAAACACATCCGGTTTAATGTTCAACAATTCCAAATCACCCAAAATAACATTTTCAAATTCCACGGTTTCTTTAGCGGGATTTGTGTCATCAAAACGCATAATCAATTTGCCATCGAAAGCTTGAGCATAGTATTGATTCAAAAGAGCAGCCTTGGCATGACCAATATGCAAATAACCGGAAGCCTCTGGAGGGAAACGTACCACCACTTTGCCCATTTCGGCACCGGGTAAATCAACGAATTTACCTTCTTGCTTACGTTCTCCAGGTTTAGAAGTGACAGCCGGAGAGGCTTCCTTAGAATTCTTCGAACGATTAACTTGTTTGGCGGAGATTTTAGCTTCCTCGGGCAAAGAATTGAGAACCTTTTGAATAAGTGGCTGAGCACTTATCAAATCATACCATCTCTGCACATGTTGGGGTATACCCTTGGCAGCCAAAACCTCATAGCGTGAGTGCATTTCATTGTATAAAGCAAAATCGGCTATGGTCAATTTGTTGGCTACCAAATAGGTAACAGGAGCTATGGATTTATCCAAAAAGGTCATGGCCCAGGAGATGTCATCGTCACAGGTTAGTGAGAAAGACAACCAATGGTCGATTTGTGTGCGTTCAATAGCGGTTTCACCATACAATTTATAGGTTGGAGCTGCCCTAGCTAAAGCACGCAAAACATCGTTGTTGGAGTAGCAAGACATACGTCTGCCATCTGGATACAACAATGAAGTTTCACTGCCCCAAACAATTTCCACTGGCACTGTGTCATTAATTAAATGCGCTGTAGCCAAACCACCTGCAATAAACAAAGGCAATATACTATTTTATTCAAATGAAACAATACATTAAAATGATGAAATTTTTTCGGAAGCCTGCCAACAAATGCCAGCGAAATAACCTAAAAATGTTGAATTAATTGTGCGAATTTATATACTTACTGATTGGCGGATTATTAACATTGGCTGTTAACTTCAGAGACATATTTCCTTGCTAATATTCACAATATTAAGGTCGTTTATAGGATATTTATTAAGAAATTCCTGTATTTTAAAAGAATTTCCACAAATCCACCGAAAAAGACGTGTTCAACACACGGCACTTATTAAGAAAAACTGATAATTGACATCTAACCCAGGGATAAGAAAATGATAATTGCATTCGTACAACAACTATTAAAAAACTACAACAACACAAGGTATTTTGTTATTGTTTTGTATAGTGAGGCTGTCAATTGCTATGAAATAAAAATAAACAAGTATGTTAGTGTTACCACCTTAATCAAAACATCTTGAATTTGTGTACTTCAGGTCGGTGTTCATGACATATGACACATTAGCTTAACAATAGCAACTCTGTTTTTATAGTTTTCTTTGCGTTTGTATTCACCTGATGACAGCTGTCAAGTGCATTTTTCACTCTTTTTTCTTTATCTCTTTATTATTCATTAAAAATTTTTTTCCTGTGTATTGTGCTAGTGAAAATATTCTTTTCTCATGATTTTTTATGAAAAATAATTAAATTATCTGAAGGTCTATTAAGAAAATTGTTAAAAAGTTTAAATTTAATATAGCAAAATGGTAAGTTATGAAAATTTATACATTTGTAGGGGAATTTTCCACAAAACATTAAAATTGATGACGCGCCCCAATATTGTAAATTTAGTACAGTGGGTGCTCCGCTGCTGCTTACAATTACGATTTATTAATTTTTTTTTTTTTTTCTACCACTTTAGATGCTCTTTATGCTGTTATTCAGCCGTCAGGGCAAATTACGTTTACAAAAGTGGTATAATGCTTATCCCGACAAGGTCAAGAAGAAGATTACCCGTGAATTGGTTACAACCATTTTGGCTCGTAAACCCAAAATGTGTTCCTTTTTGGAGTGGAAAGATTGTAAAATCGTTTATAAGCGGTAGGTTGATACTGTTTAATAAGGAATATAGAGTTTCTTTTTATACAATAAGTTACTTTTTATTTTTCAGATATGCCAGTTTGTATTTCTGTTGTGCTATTGAGCAGAACGACAATGAATTGTTAACTTTGGAAATTATTCATCGTTATGTTGAGCTTTTGGATAAATATTTTGGTAGTGTAAGTATTCAATCAAATTGAAACAAATTATAACAGATTTGTGCTAAAAAGGAAAGGGAAAGCGTAATTTAGGTTTAAAATAGGAATACCTACATGTAATTTTTTAAATTTAACTTCTGTCAGGTCAGGTCATAAGAAATACTTCTAGGCTTCTATTTGATCAGTTGTGCGCTCCTTTACCAAAATTTCTGTTGCGTATCGAACTCACGACTGGCCGGACTGATGCAGTAGATTGCTAGCAACTTACCAATACATATCTACGTTTCACTTGTTTAGTGGTTACTGGCTTCTTTAGAATTTTTCGTACCGCTTACTTGTTTGGCAGAGCATTTATTTAGGCAAAAATTAAAAAGTGTCAACGCACTAATGTAAATCAAACTATCTCTGTATACGTAAGTGCAGATCTGTGGTCATATTCCAGACTGCGAATATTTAGACTGATAGAATCAAATAGCTCTATTTTGCCTTTAAAATAGAGATATCTAGTGTGATTCCTACGTTGACATATTCCAGATTTCTAATATAACACTACCAACAATCGGGAGTATAAAATCAAAAGACTCTATCTAGTCGCCTGTCAAGTAGAAAGGGAGTTCGAATGACTTTTTCCATTCAATTTTCATTTAATACATTTGTAACTGAGTTTTTGACAAGAGTCCTTTGTAATTTGGCGCATATACCGGTCTTTCATAGAATTGCATTTCGATAGAAAGTGGAAATTTACTTAGTTAATAAATTGTTTAAAACTTAAAAATCAATAACTTTAAACAAATGACAATTTTACTTTGAAAGTTTGAAGTGATTTTATTCCAAAAAAGTTGTTGTTTTCCTTTTTTGAAGAAATATATTATTCCACTTTCGATCTGAAAGTGAAAGCCTCATAAAGACATTTGATGACTTTATTAAAAAATGATTAATATTTCAATTTATCTTCATTTCCAGGTCTGTGAATTGGATATCATTTTTAATTTTGAAAAAGCCTATTTCATATTAGATGAACTGTTGATTGGTGGCGAGATACAAGAAACCTCAAAAAAGAATGTTTTAAAGGCAATTGCCTCACAGGATCTACTGCAAGAGGTTAGTACACCAGAAATGTTTGATTTATAAATTAAACAAAATTAAATTACAATTAAACAAAATTAAATAATATGCATCCTAAATTAAACAAAAAGTTAAAAAAAGCAAAGCATCCAACTTATAAATTTTACAAAATTAATTTTTAATTATTTTTTTATTTAAATTCAGTTTTTACATTTTGGTTTTTATGCATCTAATGCTAAAATTTCATTAATTGTTGCTTTCTAAACAAGTTTTCAATGATTATAATTCTTTTATAACAATTTGTTTTCTAATTATGATAAATTTATTTTCCTTTTTTTATTTTTCTGTTAAAAAAAAACTAAAAACAAACTTAAACTGGACAACAATTGAATAATTAACAATTTTAAAACAATTTTTAAATTTTGTTTATATTTTATATATAATTTTATTGCTAATTGTTGTTTTGCTTTTTGTTGTTTTGTTTTTCTACTTCATTTCTTTAAAAGCAAGAAGAATTTTTTTATTCTTTGAATTAAATTCATTTTCAAATATTTTAAATATTAAAATAGGTTTTAATTGAAGAATTGAATAGTGAAATTTTATTTAAAAACTAAAGTAATATAACTACTTGCATGAATATAATTTATTTTGCCTAACGCGAAGCTCTTTTATTTGTTTTTTATTATAATTATAATTATTATTAATTATATATTTTATTTAAATTTTATTATTTTATTAGTTAATATAATACCTTTTTATTTGAAATGTATATCTTGTCAATTTATAAATTGTTTATTGAATATAGTTTTTATTTCACTTGCCATTTGCCATATAACAAAAACAAGACCTTATGGTCTTTAACTAATGCCGTCCTGTTTATTTGTTTTTTAAAATATATATTTTATGCCATTTTATTTACAATATCTTAAATTACAAAATTGTTTTGTATAGTAAATGTAGTCATTTTGTGTAGCTGTTCTTTTTTTTAACATTTATAAGGTATTTTTTTCTGTAAGTTTTGCATGATTTTCGTTTTTAGTCCTACAACATATTGTGCTGTGTTTGCTGTAATTGTTTTAATTTAAATAGATAAGTTAGAAAAAATGTTTAGGGTTAGAAACAAGTTAGAGATGTGCAATTAATCGATAAGAAGTACTTTTAATTTCATAAAAAACTTAATGCAACTTTCCTGTAATAATTAAACTGATTCAATAAAAATCCAATGAATATTTTAATTGATTTACTGCCCATCTCTTGCTTAAAAGTTTCCCTTATTGAGCATGTTTCAATATTTCTTAATCGTCCTCCCCTCGAATGTTTTTTTATGCCCGTTTTAAAACCACACTAATCCAAAACAGATAACCCTACGTAGTTATTAATAAATATAATAAAAATACTTGTGTCTTGTTAAGTGTTTTTTAATTAGATAAAATTTTAAAACAAAATGTAATGAAATCATAAACCAAAAATACATCTTGCAAAATGTATGTATTTGATTAATCATAATGTTAACCCTTCCATGTTCGTTTTCTTATTAATGCTTACCCAACAAACATTTACTACTCCTCTACTACTACTTGTACTACTACTACTACCAATACACCACCTACAAATTGTATGATGTTGTTTAAATAATTAAAAATAATAATAACAATTAAAAAAACAATCCTCTACATACGTCTGTTACTACTACTACCACTATCACCTCTAACATCAGGACTTCAATGAGTATTTAAATTAAATTTTGTTAAGTGTATATTTCCCTTAAAAAAACCAATCATTCTATAGTTTTAGTAACAATTTTATTTATGTGTAATTTATTAAAAGAAATATATATAAATATTTATAATAAAAAAATATAATTAATTTATTGCTAATAGTGCTTAACAATTATTTATCTTAAAATCAGAGTATTTCTTTACAAAGCGGATAATATAGTGACTTATTTTTGCTAGTTGAGAAAACAAAATGTTGTTCTAGATAAGTAACAAAATTTTAAATAATAACGTTACAAGTTATAATAAACACGACAGACACTCTTCTTAATGAACTGTCCTTGTAATAAGTCTATTTAACAGACTACAGTTTTCAAGTGTTCAAAAACAAAATCTACAAATTAACAATACTAAAGACTATTGCAAATAGTCTTTGTTAATAGTAGCAAAGGGTTGAATATGAGTGAAGTCTATTAATAAAAAGTTTTGAAACTTTGATTAACTACAAATTATTTATTTCCAAATACATAAAACCATAGCAAAGCTAACCTTGAGTCAAAACTTTATATTATCAGAGTTTATATATAATTAATATGAAGAATATAAGTTAACAAAAAAGTATTATTGTGTCAAACCTCATTATATCATACCGATTAGTAATTGTTGGAAGATAAAATAGAGGGTTCTATACTCTAGAGCAAATTAACTTTATATCCAAACTTTATACTCAACATTTTTTTTCCGCTGACAACAACAAGTCAGCAGTTCGACAAAGAGTCAATGCATACGGAAAAGACAGTGATTTCCACTAACGTCTAACCACCTATTTGATTCTAAATTGCCTTTGTCCCGGATATAGATGATCGTCACTTTAGTGTAAGCGAGAGAGTGGAGACTTAAAAACAAACTTAAGCTTTTTGCCTGCCTCTTCGTAATCTACGATTGACATCCTCGTAGGACAAGCACATGTTGAAATAGTTAGACACCTGGGCAGTCGGTGGCTAGGGGTAACCCTAAGTGGTAGGTTAAATATGTACTGGGAAAGGTCTGATCTAAATCGCTGCTATCTGTATCGATATTAATTTAAAGGAGAAACTTTTTAAATATTGATTTTCGAGCTGGTCTGTTTTGCGTTGGCGTTAAACCCAATAGGAAATTATCATCTTTTTCCTTTCCATTTACCAATAGGTAGAACTTCTCGGTTAGCATGAGCCATATAGCTGGCTATGACTTGTATAGTTCCTATACCACTCTCCCAGCACTCTATTTCAAAGTCGTTATTCTATAATCAGAAAGGATAAAGATATATTTAGTTAAAATACACGATATAATCTTACCTGACATCGTCCCTTAACTCAGAGCTAAATAGGGAATATTTTTAAGTGACATGTGTTCCGGAACCAGATCGCTTTCATAACGTAATTCTATAGAAACAATGGAAGGGACACCCGAAAAAGAGCTAAAGTATTAACAGCAATTAAAAACAATGACCTGTAGGATTTGTAATTGCTTTAAAAAGAAATGATCCTGGAAGTTTGAGATAAACCTAAAATACCTACCACAACGTATGAGTATTAGCAAAAAATATTTATTACAAGAATACGTATCTCGGCGTGCGGGTTGTTATGATTTACACGTATTCTTTATATATCACGACCCGCTATTGAAAATGTATCTTCTATGAGACGCACATTCTATATATTAAATATTCTTTGGTATTCGTTTGTCAGCAACAGTTTTTCACTATCACTCGAAGTGCGGCAGGAATGCTGCTGCTGTAATATAAAAAGATTCTGCAAGTAATTGAATGCTGACGCCTGGATTTATGCTAAAGTTTCAACAGCAATTGTTAAAGATTTTGTGGATTTGTAGACTTAAAATATTACCCAATCCAACCTAAATTAAAGACATTTTTAGTTCTCCGGAAAAAAGTTATTAACTTATTCTAATAGAAGTCTCTTAATAATATGAAATGGTCCTATAAATCAAAAATAACCCTACAATAATAGCCCAAACAACCCTCTCATCATGCTTAGTTTAGCAGGATAATTACATGAATTTCAATTCCCACATAACATGTCTTCACTTCCATACATTTTTATATTCTCGAAGATGCCTATTAAAAATTTATCATTCTGTGAAAATCACAAGAGTGTCTGTTAAGGTCAGTAAAAGTAGTTTATAAATTGTATCTAATACAACATTTTGTTTCAGTGTATTAAATAAAAATTTTTAGTTAAAAACCTTGTTTAAAAACATGTAGGAATAGGATTTGAAAAACAAATATTTTAATAAATTTTATTATTAAAAAAATCAAAAGTCCATCATTATGTTGAAACTTCATCAATATGTATTAATTTTTAACTTTTTTTATAGTTGTGTGTGCGTGTTTTGTTAATTTTTTTTAGAATATAATTTTATATAGATTCTCCAAATCCCTTTTTAAATAAGAAAGACAATCAACATTGGTTTGTAATACATAAATATGTAATTCCATCTAGGTGTTTTTGTATATTTCTTAATGTTTATTAATATTTAAAAAAATATATACAAAACAAAGCTGTAAATTGGGGCTTTAAGTGTATAATTGTAGATCAATTTAACAAAATTGTTTCTGAGTAAGAAATTATATACATACATGTACATATATGGTCAATATTTAAAGAAGAAAAGTGAAGACATTCAGACATATGGCGAATAAAAGGGTAACGCTCTGTTACCTATTCTCTATTTATTTTATTCCAATAAAAATATGAACTTATCATTCACAATAGTTGATTTAATTTGTAACAGCTGTGAGAATAGCTTATAAAATTAATTGGTAACAGCTGTGAGAATAGCTTATAGAATTCCATCACAAAATATATACAATGTTTTCACTTTTTTTCCAGAGAATGAGGGAAAAAGAAAACTTAATGCACCATAAGAGGAAATTGACTTTAAAATTTAATCAGTAAGAGTTTTTAAATTCCATAAATATTGACTATTAAAACATTTAATAAATCTTTTATAACAGTTTTTTACTGATTTTATTTGTAATATTTGTGTTATTTCTTTGCACTTTTCTTTGTAAACAATTTTTTCGTTTTTTTCCACTACTCGTTTTTAAAGTGTTATATCTTCTTGTCATTTCAAAAGTCATAGTTCTTAAATTACACTTCTTTTATAGACTTTACCATATTTGTTTTTCCTTTCTATGCTTTTTCTATAGGTTGACGTTGTAGAAAGCACTTTAGAAGAACTTGGACTTTTTTAATTCCCAAAAAATTATTATTGTCCTTAAAAACGTAATTAGATTGTTAAAACGAACTTTTTATGTTATTATATAAATTTTTTTATATAAATGTAGCTTGGTGCCTCCATTTATAAAGTAGTTTTGTCTTTTTTAAAATGGCGTTTTCTTTTCGGGCAAAAATTTTGCTTTTTTAACTTTAACCCTACACAGTTTTGCAAAAAATTTCATCTCTTAAGTGAAGAAAGAAAAAAGGCACATTTTTAATTTTTTTAATGTTGCCTTTTTAACAGTAAGAATTATTCTTAATCTGTGAATTCGATTTCTTAAAGAAAACATTTTCTATATAAATTGTATGAAATAAGTGCACATTATTTCGCTACATTGTTAAAATAAGGCAGAATTTTTAAAGGGCCAGGGCAAAATTTTACACTTTAGCATATAAAACGCCATAAATCACATACGAATACTATACGACATTGTTTAGGGAATAATATTTTAAAGTCAACTATACATATATTTAGGTCCAACGATTTTTAATCAAAAAATATAAATATAAATTTTAGGAACAATTAAAAAAAAAAAAAAAAAAAAAAGGTCTAAAAAGCCAAAAATCTATTTAATTTGTATGAAAAATCATTAAGTTAACTCACATTAAAAAGAAGTTAATAATTTCAAAGTTTTAACTTACTAAATTTTATAAATGTGCAAAAGTAATTTATTAAAAATTAAACAAAAATCTCTTTTATTACTAAAAAAATCAGTTTTAAATCATTTACTATACTTGTTAATGATTAAACGTTTACAGCTTAAATGCGACATAAATTCTTTAACAAACTGTTAGTTTAACAATTTGATTTCAAAGTAAATAAATGAATGGATTTGTTTCTTTAAATATTGACTAAAATACCCTAAATCCCTCTGTTTTTGATTTGTTTTAACAAAATTTTGTTGTATTTGTTGTTATAATTTTTACAATTTATTTTATAATTTTTAAAATTTGTTCACTTTTTCACATATTTTTCCCAGCCCAAAAATAAAATCTCTCAACATTATTACTTTCCAGGCATGGAAAATTTAAATTTTTAAATAGTACTAACTTTATTCAAAAAGAGTACTTTTCAGTCCATAGACTAGTCTTTTCATTAATCCATACACTAATCTATAGATTAATACGTTCTCTAGTCTACAGTCTATGGACTGCTTAGTACAAGTTTCTAATATTAAAAAGTACCTAATATCTCGTGCTGTTATTTTTCGTTGTCAAAAAGCACAATAGTACTATATTTTCCATCCCTGTCACTACTATTCTTCCTTTTTGGGTAAAAATACACTTTTTTATATACACTTCAACAAAACTTTTTTCTTTCTATACTTCTTCTTCTTCTATAGGATGACGTTATAGAGGGCACTTTAAGAGATATTGGACTTATTTAAAAAAATCCAAGAAAAACACTTGTAAACAAAGAATTTTGTAAAAATGCACTTATTGCTATTTTATTATTAAATTAGAATTGTTACACTAAATGCAATTTTGTAGTAGTACTTACATTTTTTAAAAATACACGTAACTTATTAGTTCCAAAAGCCCTTATTGCAACATTTTACACTTTTAGTAGTTTTAGTTTTTTTATAAATCACATTGTAATGTAAACATGACATTGTTTAGGGAATATAAGTTTTAAATATCAAGGAATTAACATATGATTCTTTTTTCACCACTACATTTAAGACCCACCATTTTTTTTTAAATTATTGATGATTGAGTGTAGAGAGTAGTTGAAATATAATTATTAAAATGTGAAATGCAAAAGAGGGATAATACCTAACCTAACCTATAATTTACTAGGTAATTTGTAATTCCATTAAAAAAAGAAGTTTCAGAACGAAATATTGTGATGTCAGGCTTAATCTTTTTAAAGTTTAAAACTGAGAGTGATTATGTCCTTGATATAATACAAGGGAACCATCATGTGGAGCCAAGTGTATCGGTCACTGGCCGTCTGCCTCAATAACCTATGATCCTAGATATATGTATGTATCTGTTATAGATACCATTGGGTCCTTTTAAATTCATATTCTAATGTTCATTAGTTTGTATGTATTTCTTTTAAAGGACCGATATCGGATCTTTCTTCACAAAAATTTTAATTCTGATTCAAATTTAATTCTTAAAATCAACAATTCACTCAAAGATATTATTTTAAGAATGATTTTGTAGATACTTTAATAAATTTATTCTTAGTCTATTATAAAATTCTGGATATATCCTATGGAAAGAATTGGTTCTGCTCCATCGAGTTGGCATGATATAACAGATCTTTATCTAACAAGAAAGAGTCGTTTCTTCGTGCCTCATGATGCCTTGATTCGTTTTTGGGTAAAACAAAGGGGTCAGATAATAGATCCAAGTCAACCTTTAGGTCGCTGCCTCAATAACACAGGCCGACAAAATTTTAAAAAAGTCGAAACCCTGAGACCAGCAATACTTTTCTAAAGGATTGAGCCATACAGAATCCGTATTTTCTCCATCACATCTTGGATTTGAGATATAGCGTCCTTTAGTTAAAAAAAACGAAATTTTTGGCTCTTTTTGAGAAGTTATAACAGCCCAAAAAAATTGCCATTTTTTAAACTTCAAGACACAATATCTCGAATCCCATATGTGATAGAGAAAATGTGGTCTCTGGGTTAAAAATTTGTCGGCCTGTGTAAAATAAACTAAACGTTTAGCTCAGCCATTTTGTTTCGCCCATTATAAACACTAGACTTTTGGGATATAAAAATAATATTTCGATTATTTTACTCTTAATGTGTTAATGTTTAACAGAATGAAAATTATTCTTTTGCATTTAAATTTTAATAATTATTTATTTAAGACTATATCTGGAAAAAGTTCCAACATATTTTCTTTAAATTCATAAAAAATGTCCATTACTTCCAATTCCCCCCTCTCTACTGCAGCTTGAAACTATTTTTATTAAATACTATAACTAATTTTTTAATGTTCCTACATTTAATTCCATCTAACGTGCCAAAACCTAGAAAAAAATTTTAAATTTTTATTTTCGAAATCATGCAAAACGACAGAAATAAATTCCTTATAAAAACAAGTTATTATAAAGAAAAACTAAATTTTTTTCCAAATTTACCCTTAAGCAATAATAAACAAAATACAACAAAAATATTAATTAAAAAAAAACTTTCAGCTAAATGTTTAAAACAAACTATATACATAGAAAAATACAATATTTAACTAAAAATTGTTTATAAATATTTTAATAGTAATTAATAGTTTAATAAATTTAATTACAAAAATTGTATATTCTGGTGTTGTTATTATAAATAAAAAACATTTATTAAATATAAAAACAAAATTAAAAACAAATCCTGCCTTCTTATTACAAAAAAAACCAATGATTGTCTTTTTTATTTTATAAAAATTCCTGGTACTTTTTAAAAAATTTAGGACATAGAAAATAGTACCTTAAAATATTTAATGGTGATGTTTTTACGTAAAAAGAAATAATTATTAAAGCGTGTAAATTAAAAATAGTATTTTTCAACTTTCTTCTATGAATGTGTGTGTGTAAAACTGTGTAAGTGTTTTAGTGTGTGTGTGTGCGTAAAACATTTCCTTATTATATTTTATTAGTGTAAAAATTAAATTATTTAAAATTTAAAAACAATTAATCCTAAATAATATTTATGTTTAGTTAACAATTTTACCCATTTTATACTTTTAAAGCTTTTTTTAAAAGAAGTCTGAAAATGCTCTAAAAATATTCCACCACAATTTGAAAAATATATGTATTTAGTTAAACTCACTAAAATTGTCTTAGTCCTTTAGTTAAACTGGGGTTTATGGTGTAATTTGTTTTAATGTAAATGTGTTTTGTCAATAATATAAAACAAACTTTTAGCTTAATGTGCTTTTTATTGTAACTGAAAGCCTAAAAAATCAACAACAACAAAACATGTAAAAAATATTTATAAATTTTAATAACAAGTATTTAATTATAATAATATAAAATTTAAAACAAAATGTAAGTATATATTATTATGTAAGTGTATTTATTTTTAAATTTGTTTTGCAATTTGGTTAAATTAATGTTTCATGCTTTATTTTAACAAAGCACTTAAAATTCTGCACAATGGCTTGGTGGGTTAGAAAAGTTGTGTTAAAATAGTACTAAAATTGACCAAAAACAAATTTTTATGGATTAAAAGTACTTAATAGACAAACTATGGATTAGTCCCTTGATTAGTCTATGGGCTTGTCTATGAAATAGTCTTATGACTAGTCCATGGAGTAGTCTATGGTTAAGTCTATTGAATAGTTTTTGGACCGGTCTTCTCGTGGTTTATACGATTGACCAAATTATAGTCTTGTCTATTAAGTAGTCTATGGATTATACTATTGACTAGTTTATAGTCTTGTCTATTCAGTAGTCTATGGATTAGTCTATTGAGTAGTATTCAAACAGTTGAATTGATCTATAGTATAGTTTAGAGACTACTTAGTCTATTGACTAGTCCATTATATCAACTATTCCATTATGGTCTAGTTTATTTAATAGTCTACGGACTCATTTATTGAGTTTGAGAGTTTATTGATCAGTCTATTGACTAGTCTACTGATTTGTAGACTACCCTATTAGCTATTTCAATGTTAGGTTGAAAGAATGTCCTGCTGGACCCTTTTTATTAATGGAACGTGGTGTGAGTGAGTGTAATTATTGTCCAATGGTCAGAAACACAGTTTACTGGTGGTAATTCCTTAGAATTTCTAATCAGTGTTCCCGAGTTATGTAATATGTATCTAGAATAAAATCGCTCCGAACATGCATGCTATATTTTCGTTTGAATTCGTTTATGCAATTTGGTGTTGTTATAAATACAAATATAAAAAGCTTCTCGTCCTTCTCCAGATATAGACCTTATATGATCTCTTTAGTTATACACACTGTTTCATTATTTTAAATGGCCGTATGTTATTATTTCGACCATTAATTAAACTCTCGTTACTTTTGCATTCGTCAGATAAACATTCTCAAGTTCTCACCTCCGATTATTCCCGAGTGGACTGACACCCGAATCTGTTTCGTCCGAATCTGTTCGTGCTATTTTTTATTTTTTGGTCCGTAAGCACGTGTGTCCATTTAGAGTACGGACCATCATACTAATATCAGATTTTCTTTGTTTCATTATTCTTATTGGCCGTATGTTATACTCTCGTCCATGTTTTTAATTCACCCCTAATTGGCTCGAACAGTTTTGCATTCGTCAGGTTAACATCTTCAAGTTCCCATATCCTTATAGCAACTACAATCGCTCTTTCGTTGCCGATTATACCCGAGAGGCCAGGTACCCGTATGATGCAAAGTTTCCCTTTGGAAAAGTGTTCGCTAAAGGCGAACCTTAACTGATATCGTTCTAATTGCCCCTTGGCTGTCGGTAAATGCTTTTCCAATCCAGTATACATATGTACATATTTCGTTGTCATACCTACTTCTGCCTAGACGGTTCTGTCTATGTTATGACATCGGGCAGTCTGATGTTGTAAGGCCCCACTTATATCTGAGTAACATGTACGCTGAACTACCTGTAGTAGTTTTATATTACTCGTTTTGTACAAAGAAGTCTAGCAAATTATTGACCCACAACTTTACGCTTTTATAAACTGCAAAGAAGTCTTCTAGAACTAAGCCAAACATATTTGAGCCGCAAATAAGATGAGCCGTAATCGTTCTTCTGAGACCGATATTAAGTACTCGATAGTGATTTTCAAGTGAACATATCTCAGCCGTGAGTAAAAATGTTGAGAAAGATCCAAATTCGGCAAAAATTTCGGTCGTGATAAATGGATTAAATTACTGGGTGATAATGTTAAGAACTAAAATGATCCTTTATTGAAGATTCGTGTGCATATGATTCCTCAATAAGTTGTATTTGGAGATCTGGAGCAAAAAATTAAAAGAAACTAAGCAAAAATGATAACAACAAGACGATGCCACACATCCACCAAAATAATGAATATATTGCGAACCAAATTTCCCCATCATATACATTTTGTTTTCTCAGGAAAGTAGAATGTAGATGTCCAATATTGTTTCACAGATCAGGTGTCATGTTCTTTTAAAATGCACACATTGCATTAGATTTCTTAAATTGTTTAGCTCGAAATATGCTTCAGTTTAAAACATCAATAATTTTTATTACATACAATTCCTTATTATTGGTCATAATCTAAAGAACTTTGGGCTTGAAGACTATAACACATCTACTAAGCTGATCAATATTCAATGGCCCCATCTACCAATAAGAACGACATTATAGTTATAACGAGGCCTCTTAGATTAGTGATTTTATTCTAGGTCGAGTTCTTAAAATTTAAATGGTTTTGGGAAAGAATCTGACATTTCATCATCATTTTTGGCAAACTTCCACCGTTACTTGCCATTACCATTATCTGTTATTTAACATTTTTTTTTTTATAAATTTGCCGATTAATACAAATTGCAAAAGAAAATTTAAATATATTTAATCAAAATTTATTTATAAGCATTTCTAAAATAACTAGTGATTATTTTTAAACATTTTTGTGCATTTCTTTTGTTTTCTTTTTCTATCTCATTTTAGGATGAAACTCCTCAGGGTTTCTTTGATGATCATGGTCTCGGCTAAGTGAAATATTTTCTAAAAATTACAATTATTTTTTTATAATATTTTACTGAAACAAACAACATAACTACTTAAACTGTAACTGCTGTCCTTAATTCCAACAAAAGATTAAAAAAAGACAATTATCACGATTTTTATCAAATAGAAATACATATTCAAAAGCGTTTTAATTAAAAATGTCTAATTGTAATTTTTATAAGTAAAAATACCTAGTATTATTAATTAATTTTTTTAACAATGGCCTTAATTATTTTTTTTAAGTTTCTCTAAATAAAACTTTAAATGATTTTATTTTCTTTTTAACTTTAACATTTACTTCAAGCGAATTTCTTTGGCACATTTTGCACCAAAAAAACTGTTTATCAAAATAAGAATACAAAAATTAAATATAAAAAAATAAATATTTTAGTTTTAGTTGCAAATTAAAAATTGTATTTAATTTAAATGTTTAGTGTGCATAACATTTTAAAATAATCAAACGGAATTTTTGCTCAATTATAAAAAAAACACAAATAAAATTAAAAGAAATTTGAAAGGGAAGAAATTATTACTAAATTAGATTTGAAATAGAACGAAAGGTAAGTAAATAGTGGTTACAGAGGCAATCTGAAAGGCTTTACACTTTATTGCGGCTTACACGCCAGTGACATAATAAAGTTTCTGGCCGAATTTTTATTAAGAAGTTATAACAGTTTATTTGGGAAAGTATTTCCTAAGATTAAAATCCCACAATTCATTTCTCGTTCTCATGATTTTCGGGTTTTCTGGAGGCTCATTATACAGATTTTTCCAAGACTTATTTCAGTAGCCATTAGGACCTACTGCTTTGTGCTATGCATAATTAGAGTAAACTCTAAACACAGCCAACCATTAAGGAAAATTTCCGATAAAACAAAGATTAAACATCGACCACTCAACCGCTCAAAAACCATAAATCATACTTAAGTATGCAGCAAAACTCAAGACCATCATCTCCACTCCTCCTTCCTCATCAACTCTTCAACCTTCTCAACACCATCCATCTCCACAACACTTCCATCTCATCCGACACAACCGTCTACATCAGCCATCCATCTCCCGAGGAACCTCAGCCAACTGACCATACAGAACAAAGTCCTGCGGGCAACTGGCCACCCGATTGTATGGTGCTCTGGTTGGACCCTTATGTCAAATCATTCCAAGGAAAGGCCGAGGATACATATGATCATCAGTAGTTTATAGTCTCGGCAGACTAGAGGTATTGCTAGCACCTCTTTTCCCCAAGATATTGCAATAAGCGATCCCTTTTAACCCATTAATGCCCACGGCGATCTACGTAAGGTAGAAATGTGAAATTTGGATATGAGAGTTTACTTGTGTATATAAACCGATTTTAATTAAAACATTTTTTCTATCTTGCCTTGTTTGGATTTTAGAAGACGTTACGTATACGTAACAGTGGGCATTACCCACGAATTTTTGACCCTTAAGTATTTTAAGTAAAAGTTACATATTTTTACCAAAAAAATAGTAAAAGAACTGGTTAATTATTAAGTTTTAAGCTTGGATTTGCTAATTTGGTGTATCATACAAAATTTTTTCATATAAAATAACAAATTATTTAAAAGTATAACATTTTAATTTGTGGAATTTTGTAATTTCTGTAATGTCAATTAATGAATTTAAAGAAATTTGTATATTTTC